TGTTTTTTCACTAAAATACGCCTGTAATTTGGTAATGCTGGGATGTTCAAGGATGATTCATAATGAAGCGTAAATTTTACATCCTCTATTATTATAAGATTTCTGGGCCTGCCCCAGAGACAGAAGACCTGGTAACTGTGTCCCTGAAACTCAGACTGGATTATCTCCGAAACCGAATAACATGCTTTTAGCGTGACCTTCGAAGTCATTTAGCAAATGTGCAATCACTGCCACAGGGGATGAAGACATCATAGTCCTTTCCTTGCCTGGGATTAGTGTCAGAAATATTGACAAATCCTCGGAGATAGCGCACATTCCTGGAGAAAACACTAAATGCCAATAAATGACAAAGCATCCCGTAATGTCAGATCGTCCTCGGACACCTACCGTGTCCTTCCTATCATCCTTTCTGACCAGGCCAAAGCAGGCAAGGGGGTCAGGAAAGGTAAACTCGCTCAAATCACTCTTCATTTTACCATAATGGGGTAAAAGGCTAACTCCAAGCTGTGTACATTCAGATTACTTTTCAGAGGGTGGTTGACAGGCAGCTTTCATTTTGCGGAGGTATTGCCTTCCAACATGACACGGGGTATAATTGTTACTGCGTCTGCAAAGCAAAGCATCGTGGCTGTGGCATGTGTCTAGTCTCTGTTGTAGGTCAAAGCGGTATTAACCACTTGCCCTCCAGAGGATTTACCCCCCTTCATGACCAGGCCATTTTTTGTGTTACAGCGCTGCGTTACTTTAACTGACAATTGCGTGGTCATGCAACGCTGCACCCAAATGAAATTTACGTCCTTTTTTTCCCATGAATTGAACTTTCTTTTGGTGATATTTGATCACCTGTGCGTTTTTATTTTTGCGCTATAAAAAAAAAAAAAGACCGACAATTTTGAGAAAAAAACAATTTGACTTTTTGCTATTAAACATGTCCAGTAGAAAAAAAAAACAACAACAAATTTCGTCATAAATATAGGCCAAAATGTATTCTGTGACATGTCTTTGCTAAAAAAAAAAAAAAATCCCAATACATGTAAATTGGTTTAAGTGAAAGTTATAGCGTTTACAAATGGCGATATATATATATTGGGATTTTTTTAAAATTTTATTTTTACTAGTAATGGCGGCGATCAGCGACTTATAGCGGGACTGCAGGACTGCGGCAGACATTCTGACTTCCCCAGTGACACCAATACAGTGATCACTGCTAAAAGAAAAGCACTCACACTGTACTAAGGGCACTGGGCAGGAAGGGGTTAACCTGAGGGGCAATCAAAGGGTTAACTGTGTGCATGAGTGTTTTGCTAGGGAGCGGTGTGTGTGTGTGTGTTTCACTGTAAGTACACTGCTCTGGATGGCAATGCTGTGCACAGTCATCCAGAGCAGTGTGCCCGAGCTGACAGGGAGGAGGACTGTTAGTAAACAAAACAGTCCTCCACCCCGTCGATGATCACTGAAAATAACCAGGCGCCGGCGAGTAATTACTGTCCGGGACCCGGTGATTGACACCCGCAAATGGCGGCGCAGGTAGGGTGTGCGCGTGTTTTGCGCGCTCCCCCTACCCGGAAATATACGTGATTTTGCGCACCCCTGCCGCCCTGTAGCAGTATTTCTGCTATAGGGCAGTGGGGATGTGGTTAAACCTAAAGCGAAAAATGTAATATATTGCTGCTTACCAATCATTAGATGTGGGGACTGCATTAGTTTTCTTTTTTTTTGCCCCTCTGTTTCACCTGGTGATCTGGCCAGTAACACACCACCTTTGATCCTTACTGGACTAAAATTGTATCTGGACTATTGAACAGTGCCATGCTGCCTCAATTATTCTTCTTGAAGTTTTTATTGCTGTTTGTGTCCCTGTTGGGGAGATTTATTCTAGGTGACCATTGTCACCTGGACAAAATAAAGTCATGAGAAATCCCGAGAACAATACATATTGGGAAATCTTCCAATGGGCACATTTGTTCCTGGGACAACTGTCTAGGGCAGGGGTCTCCAAATTTTCTAAACTTTAGGGGTGCCCGACTGTGGCCATTGGGAGTAGAAAAGGTCCCGATGTCAGTGGGAAAAAAACAATGCTCCATCGTGCCCCATCGTTTGTGTCATTGGGAGGAATTGAGCCCTATCATCGGTGTCACTGGCACTATTCTTGGTGTCATTGGAAGAAATTGTGCCCCATCATTGGTGTCATTGGGAAGAATGTCCCCCCATCATTGGTGTCATTGGGAGAAATTGTGCCCCATCGCTGCTGTCATTAGGAAGAATGGTGCCCCATCATTGGTGTCATTGGGAAGAATAGTGATCCATCGTTGATGTCATTGGGAGTAATTGTGCCCCATTGTTGGTGTTACTAGGAGGAATTGTGCCCTTTCATTGGTGTCAGTGGAGGGAATGATGCCCCATTGTTGGAATCAGTGGATGAAATAGTGCCCCAAGGGCTGGATAAAAGCAAGCAAAGGGCCACATCTAGCGCCCAGGCCACAGTTTGGAGACCACAGGTCTAGGGGAATGCATTTTACATTCCTCTAATGCACACTGCCATGTCTATGATGACTATTGATTTATATTGATTTCAAAATCAGGCAAAAAAAATGCACCAAACTGCATTAGTGTGGCACTTTGAATCTTCCTCTTGAATTTTTTATTGCTTTCTGTGTCCCCATAGGGGTGGCTTCACCCCTCTATTTGTACTGAGACCATTTACACCAAGACATAAAATGAGGGGAAATCCAACATTTTAGAGCTGTCCTCAGAACAGGTAGCTATGGGGAAATCGTCCAATAGGGACGCCTATTCCATGGACAGCTGACTGGAATTCTGTTCAGGATGGGAGATTTTCACCTATGCACATTGACGTGTTGTGACGCATATTGATTTATATTGATTGGTTTGGTGGAAAACATTTCAGACACCCAAACGCATGAATGGTGTGAATGGGCCCTTAAGGTGAACCTGTGCTTTAATGAAGGGAGTGCAAAACAGAAGGTTCCATTGTTCTCCCACAGCTGTGTTTGTCTGTTGGAGCCAACAGAAGTATCCAATACTTGTAAGTATCAGGAGCATGCTCCCATCCCTCCCACAATGCAGCCAATCGGGGACAAGGAGTGCCTATCCCTGTGCAAGCTCTGACCAGACTAACTTGGAGCTTACACTGGACTTTTTCCTTTGTACTGATGGGCAAACGTAGTGGAGGGGAATTAAAGGAAAGAGAAGTATAAGTAGCAGAACAGGAGCAAATAAATGAACCTACTCATGGTTGTGCTTCTCTGCATGGGCAAACAATGCGTTTACTTTCAAGTAGATGTTTCCAGGACCTTGTAGATGCACCCATGCCTGCTTTCTTTGCATCCTTTTCCAAAATCTTAGATTAGGCAAAGTCTTGTGCCGCCTCTCTCAACCTTTTCAACACAGAGGAACCCTTGAGATAACTTTCTGGTCTCAAGGAACTCCTGCTAAAAATGACTATATCTACAACTCATGATATATTAATGTGATAATCAGTGGGAAGAATGCTCCTTACACTTGAGTTCATTGGGAAGAATCATTGGGTGTTATTGGGAAGTTGAGAGGAAGAAATTGCTCATTGTTTGCGGAACCCATAGCAACTACTGGAGGAACCATGGTGTAGCAATGGGGTCTCCAAACTTTCTAAACAAAGGGCCAGTTTACTGTCCTTCAGACTTTAGGGGGGGCAGACTGCGGTCCACTGGAAGCAGAAAATATCCCGTTATCCGTGGGTGTAAACAATGCTCCATCTTTGGTGTCATTGAGAGGACTAGTGCCCCATCGTTAGTATCATTGGGTGGGTAGAATAATGCACCATCGTTGATGTCACGGAGGAATTGCGCCCCATCACTGCTGTCATTGGGAGGAACTGTGCCCCATCGTTAGTATCATTGGGTGGGTAGAATAATGCACCATCGTTGATGTCACAGGGAGGAATTGTGCCCCATCACTGATGTCATTGGGAGGAACTGTGCCCCATCATTGGGAGGAACTGTACCCCCTTGTTGTTGGTGTCAGTGGGGGGAATCATGCCTCGTTGGTGTCAGAATATGAAATATTGCACCAAGGGCTGGATAAAAGCAAGCAAAGGGCCGCATCCAGCCCCCAGGCCACAGTTTGGAGACCACTGGTCTACTGGGAGATTCAGATTGTACACATTGTAAAAGCTGACAAGTAGAAATAATGAGCTTAAAGAGGAACTCCCCCCACCTCTATAGCTGAGTGCACAAAAAATATAGTTCCATGCCCAGTGATCCAGCGGTGTTTTCTAGGGATCTGTCGCAGCACACTAGGTCCAGTGCTTCCATTTCCATCTGATGCCATTGGGGGGGGTGGGGGCGGGCGGCATTCTCCCCTGGGTTCTTGCAGCTGGTCCTGTGATGACACTCATGTGCCATGTCAGCTGAAAAAAACCTCAAAGAGACAGCCAGTGCCCTGACGATGAGGGACATGAGTACTCCATGGCTCCCTGGGATACGCAAAGTAGGTATCCCAGCAGGCTGTGGGCAACTACATACAAAATTTTTGCTTAGGTGAGATATCACGAAATGCGAGGAGGGGTTCCCGAGAAAGGTATCTTCCGAAAAATACATACATACATACTTTGCCTAGGCCAAAACAATAAAGAAGTTGCAATGAACCATCAAGTCATATGGACAATTTTTACTAGGTGCTCCTCACCACACAACCATAGACATGCCAAATCAAGAGCTCAAATGGGTTATCCAATGGGTGTTGGCAATTCACGGCATTGGGACCCCCAGCTAAATTTCATTCACAGAGAGAAAATCGTGTTTTCTTTCTAAGTCCTTATATGTGCTAGCCCTGGTGGATGAGACTTAGGGCTGCTTTCTCACTGATCCATTTTTAGGTGCACCTAAACACCAGGATCTCATGTCTTGGGGCTAAAGGCTCAGTGTGCATGAGGCCCAAAATATTAATATAGTGTTACATACTCATTTCAGATACAATTGGTGCTTTGCAGAGCACATTACCTCTTTTGGGGCCTGAAACGCGATGTAGTGTTGATAGATTTTGCGCGCGCTCGGCTGTTGAGGATAAAATGGGGGTGCGTATCCCGGTACTCTTCACAGGCCAACCAAAAATCCAGGTTTTCATCGCTGAACTCTGACTGCAGGAATACCCGAAAGAGAGCTCGCCCATCTAGAGGCACAGAAACATACAAGAGAAGGCACATTTGTAAAATATTACTAGTACCGTATGTTATGAACTATAATAATGTAAAGCGGTTGTAACTCCTTCCATATACCCAGTGAAGTGACTGGCTTTAGGTGATACACAGAGATGAAACAGATCCTCCTATACAAGTTGTACCTGTTTATCTGCAGTGTTCCCTTCTCTACATCCATTCAAGGCCAGAATTTATAAAGCTTCTCTGAGCTTTCAGAAACCAGGGGGCAGAGAGCTAAAATTACACTCTGCAGAGTTCAGTAAGAAGAACTCTGAGAGCTGATTGGATGGAAGAGGCACTCACCCCTTCACACAGCACACAGGGACAGAGCTGAGGCTGTCAATCACAGGCTGTGTACTGGAGCTCCCTCCCCTGTCACCTTTTTTCTCTTGGTGTCAGGAAAACTTGTCAGAAGTGACCAGAAGTTTGAAGCAGCAGACAGAAATGACACGTGGTGCTCTGGATTGAGACAAGTACACACTATAGAGAGATATGCTTTGTTCATATTTCATGTCTGAGGTTTACAACCACTTTAAGGGAGCCTAGGAGTAACACGATGGATGCCTCAGTATGAACCCGTACTATGCCCATGCAATAGGTTCCCTCTTCTACGCCATTCTTTGTTTTGCTTTGTTCAGCTGTTGGGCACTGTGGAAGATAGCCCTTGTCTAAACTCTGAGCCCTTCCAGTCAAAGTTTACATTGACTTCTTCTACACTTTTAGTTGTACAGCACCATAAAACTTAAAGGGTAACTCTACTTTTGTGAGAAAAAAAATAGCAAATTAAAAAAAAAAAGCACCCACGATATATCATATACAACTGCTACACAAGACACATTGTAATTTAAAGTGCTACTAAACCCACAACAGTACAATCAGTCTGTATATGCAGTAAAGCATGCTTGTTATACTCTCTGTGGAATTTAAGGGGTTAATCCTCTGCATTGTGTAAAAAGGCTGTTTAATCCTTTCTTTTCTGTTCCTCCCCTTTGTCAAGCAACCACCTCTTATCTCCTGATAAGGCATTTGCACATGCTCAGTTTGGTGTGCATTGCTATATTTTTTTTTCTTGGGAGAATGCATGTGATCAGCACAGGGCCAATCAGCACTGTTCAGACAGAGGGTCAGGGGTTCTGCATCCTAACAGAGCAGAAAGAAAACTCCTCCTACAAGCTTTAGCTAGTGCTCTGCTGGACACTGATAGAAGCCACAAGACTGCTCTAACTGCTGATGAGAAAAGACATTTAGCAGTTTATATTTACTAAAATAATTGCATTTCGTTGTTCTGTGTACTTTGGGAGACCAGATATAGTGAATGCAGGGTCCGGGGAGACCGGATATAGTGAATGCGGGGTCCGGGGAGACCGAATATAGTGAATGCGGGGTCCGGGGAGACCGGATATAGTGAATGCGGGGTCCGGGGAGACCAGATATAGTGAATGCGGGGTCCGGGGAGACCGGATATAGTGAATGCGGGGTCCGGGGAGACCGGATATAGTGAATGCGGGGTCCGGGGAGACCGGATATAGTGAATGCGGGGTCCGGGGAGACCGGATATAGTGAATGCGGGGTCCGGGGAGACCGGATATAGTGAATGCGGGGTCCGGGGAGACCGGATATAGTGAATGCGGGGTCCGGGGAAACCGGATATAGTGAATGCGGGGTCCGGGGAGACCGGATATAGTGAATGCGGGTCCGGGGAGACCGGATATAGTGAATGCGGGGTCCGGGGAGACCGGATATAGTGAATGCGGGGTCCGGGGAGACCGGATATAGTGAATGCGGGGTCCGGGGAGACCGGATATAGTGAATGCGGGGTCCGGGGAGACCGGATATAGTGAATGCGGGGTCCGGGGAGACCGGATATAGTGAATGCGGGGTCCGGGGAGACCGGATATAGTGAATGCGGGGTCCGGGGAGACCAGATATAGTGAATGCGGGATCCGGGGAGACCAGATATAGTGAATGCGGGGTCCGGGGAGACCAGATATAGTGAATGCGGGGTCCAGGGAGACCAGACATAGTGAATTCAGGGTCCGGGGTTTAGTAACACTTTTAAAAATTGCCTGTCCTTTTTAATCTGCCGTGCAATCATTTTCTGTAAAATTCAATGCAGTATGGCAGCCTGGAGGCGTTCTGTATACCACTGCTGTACAGAACACCCCCAGAAATGTTATTTTCTGCTTGTGCGTGTTGGCTCACTGAATTTCCCAGAAGTCTGCACTAAGACACAATTAGATTTTAGGCATCCTTTGCAATAGGAATTTCATTGTTTTGGTGAGACACTCCCTAGGAGCTATTTCTAAAGGGATGCAGACCCTGCAGCTTTTCTCATTAGAACACTGGGAGTCAAACAAGGAGATTATAATGAAATAGACATTCCCCTTTAGAAACAGTCTGCACAGGACATGGTCGAATGGTTATTTTTTCCGGGCCACTTTTCCTTTCAAAATATAACAAAATCAGGAGAATATCCATTAACATTTACCATGAGATATAATTTGTCTGGGTACACTTATAGTTGTTGCGAAGATATATATATATAGTTTTACTAACACATGTCCTAGGTTGCAAAACTGGGTTTGGGCGTTCAGGTTTGTTTTGACCCTGGTCATGAAGGGGTTAAGGACCTGACCATGGATGTAGGACAGACACAGCTCATCGGTTGGTTCGGCATTGACCTCACATAGCCAGGGTTGCTTGTAATTTAGCCTCAAGCTCTGTGCAAACTTCTGAGAACAGCAGCGAGCCAGTTATAAGAATGATTCCAGGAATTTCCGTCTACAAAGTGAGTATCGTTGCCATAGCTACTTAAAAGAGAAATGCGATTCCACTGGTTTTTTTTTTCTTTTTTTTTTTTGCATAAAGCCTTAGCTGGCTGTAGACTGAAATGGAAAGAATCATTCATTAATAACATTCAATTACAAAATCTCCTGTGTGGCAATTAAATTTGTATCAGATGTTATTAAAACTTTATTTTTTCTTTCAACAAAAAAGAGAATATATACTCTACCAATAGTGTTTAATAAGGCAGCATGAGGACTAGCGAAGAGGGGTAAAGTGCAGTAGCAAGCACCAACCAATCAGATTTCAGTGCGCTGTAGTCAGATCAGTGCGGGGGTTAATGCTTATCTCTTAGATTGTAAGCTCCAAGGATCAGGCCCTCCTATCCCTCTCGTATTGAACTGTATTGTTGCTGTATTGTCTCCCTTTATATTGTAAAGCGCTGAGCAAACTATTGGCGCTATATAAATTCTGTATAATAATAATGTTTGGGATCTGGTTAAAACTCGATGGTGGTGCTCCGTGAAAAATGGCAGAATAACGCACTCACCAGATGCGTAATAGTTATACACATTAAGTATGACATCCAGAGATTTCCTCATCAGATATACGTCTGGTCAAGGCTTAGGTGGTCCTCCCTCAAGGTAGTTGTCAGCAAAATGCCCGGTAACAAATTACGCAGTGTGACCGGGCCCTATGTAACATGGAAAAGTGCATACCTCTGCCGCAGAGAAAATGAATGATGTCAGGGATACCCCTCAGGAGTGTGCCCAGCTGATAGGACCTATTAACAGAGATGGACATTGTTCTCTTTCAGCAATGGGAGGTTACATGAACTTTTACTGACACTGTCTGATGAATGGAAAATAAAAACTGCAGACTCTTTGGTACATGAGCCAATTTTTGAAGAGTTATTTATGGACGCCGTAACAATGAAATGCCTTTAAAACCGCTAAAATAAACACGAATGCAATGTCTCTTCTGCAGGAAAGTATACTTACCTGCCTAGTCACAATTCTCTGCAGAAAACGTAACCTGAGCTGCGCATGCATGGGAGTGCTGCGCCAGCCAATCAAAACAGCCGAAGCCTGGACACATGGAAGAATCTGGGAAGAAGATGCCATCGCCTGGGGATCCCGTGGGCAGCCGGCCATCGAAACTAAGCTAAGTATGTGTGCCAATACTTCCACACTCCAGACAAACCGCTAAATACACAAATGAAATACATACAGTATTTCGGGGCTGTTCTTACCTGCCAAAGGATTTGTAAATCTGTCCATCCAGTTCTGAGATTTAGATAGCTCTGCTACACAGCACAACCCTTGTAATTCTGTCCATCCAGTTCTGATATGCATTCCCTATATCTGGTCTCCCAGGACCCTGCATTCCCTATATCTGGTCTCCCAGGACCCTGCATTCCCTATATCTGGTCTCCCAGGACCCTGCATTCCCTATATCTGGTCTCCCAGGACCCTGCATTCCCTATATCCGGTCTCCCAGGACCCTGCATTCCCTATATCTGGTCTCCCAGGACCCTGCATTCCCTATATCCGGTCTCCCTGGACCCTGCATTCACTATATCCGGTCTCCCTGGACCTTGCATTCATTATATCCGGTCTCCCCGGACCCTGCATTCCCTATATCCGGTCTCCCCGGACCCTGCATTCCCTATATCCGGTCTCCCCGGACCCTGCATTCCCTATATCCGGTCTCCCCGGACCCTGCATTCCCTATATCCGGTCTTCCCGGACCCTGCATTCACTATATCCGGTCTCCCCAGACCCTGCATTCACTATATCCGGTCTCCACAGACCCTGCATTCACTATATCTTGTCTCCCCGGACCCTGCATTCACTATATCTGGTCTCCCCGGACCCGCATTCACTATATCCGGTCTCCCCGGACCCTGCATTCACTATATCTGGTCTCCCCGGACCCCTGCATTCACTATATCTGGTTTCCCCGGACCCTGCATTCACTATATCCGGTCTCCCCGGACCCTGCATTCACCCGGTCTCCCCGGACCCTGCATTCACTATATTTGGTCTCCCCGGACCCCGCATTCACTATATCCGGTCTCCCCGGACCCTGCATTCACTATATCCGATCTCCCCGGACCACGCATTCACTATATCCGGTCTCCCCGGACCCTGCATTCACTATATCCGGTCTCCCCAGACCCTGCACT